GCTTTTAATAAGTGCTTATTTTTAGCAGAAATCTAGGTGCTCTTGGGGACAGTGGTGGGTGCTGCTTCATGGCACGCAGATCATGTGTTGTCGGGAGGCGCTGCTGGGTGGTTGTGTGGCCCAGTGGACAAGGTGCAGGGCTTTGCCGTGTCTGGGAGAGGCCCGGCTGGCGGGGACGGTGGTGGCAGAGGACCTGGCACCGTGCAGGATTTGCTTACTGGGAGGTGAGCCTTGACTGTGGCTTACCCTGCAGGGGGAGGGTGGGGAGGGCAGGCGTGGCTGTTCACTTGGACCGCTCCCCTGCCGAGCCTGGAGGAGAGGACTCGGTGCCTGCTGGTGTTTCCTTTAAGGGAGAGGGTCCCTGAGACCGAAAACCCTCTGCCCTACGTGGAGTCGGGCTGGTGGCCAGAGGCTTGAAGTCCAACTCAATGAGGCTTGTTTTCTAAGGTCCCTTGGATCCCACCTTTGAAGGACCTTTGGCGTGTTCAGACCCTTGGAGGGTCATCTGGGTCTCCAGAGGTGTCTCGGGATTGAAACGCCACTCTTGCTCGGCTGTCTTCCTCCCTCTCCCTGCACGTCTCTCCTTGGCCCGTAGTGTTTGTGCAATGCTAAATATTACAGAAGGCATCCTGATACCTGCCTCTCATCCGTAAATGACTGAATTAAGAGAGGAGGGCACATCTTTGCCCAGATGAGCGCCTAAATAAATAGGTTCATTTTCATAAGAGTTTGCACCCACTATGAATGTTCCAGAGATAGGTTTAGATAGTTGATGCCTGATTTCTGTCTGCATTTTTTTTTTTTTTTTGTCCCTGCTATTCTTGAACTGCCTTCAAAGAGAAACCAAATCTAATGGAATGCCAAGTGCAGCCCTTTTAATAAGGGGCTCAGGTTTCTGAGAATGTTTTTACCTTGGAGCCCATCTTGTCAGGGGCCAGATTGTCTCTCCAGGTCCCAGGAGAGAAGTTTGCACAGCCAGCTTCCAGAAGCCGGGGTTTCCCATCCTGACCAAAATAGCTTGTTTCTTCAGGGAGGTCTTAGGAGGCAGAAAGGAAGAGATCAGGAGGGGTGCGTTTGGGTCACGGAGGAGGGTGCTGGCATTGTTGCCTGGCCTCCTCTCTCGGGGAGTCAGCATCTCTAAGGAATGGCCTGGCTTTCTTGTTGAAGGAGGTTACTTGATCAAGCAATTCGTCAAGAACAGGAAGAGCCAGTTACCAGCAGCCTATAAAGCAGCTCCTGCTTGAGACTCACTAGAAACAGCATGTCTGCCGTGCGGGAGACGGTGCTCTGCGGCCCCTAGGGGTTCTTGGATCTGCTTGTTTGTTTATATTTTTAAGTAAACTCTATGACCAACCAGGGGCTCGAACTTAGGACCCTGGGATCGAGAATCGCACGTTCCACCAAGTGAGCCAGCCAGGCACCCCCTGTTCATTTCTTTAAAGCCTTATTTACAATTGGCTCTTTTCACGAGGAGTACTTTAAATACTCCGTTGTTTCCCTCTGTCTTCTTCTCAGATTCCGCCCGGCTGCTGGGGTCATGCGGGGCCACTAGCCTGTGCAAGGTCTTTTCTCCGAGTGATACTGGCAGTGGGACCTGCTAGGGCCCAGTGCTGTGCACGGGGCTCCTTGGTCTCACAGAGAACGGGCCAGGCGGTTCGTGCCAGCCACCAGCCACTCCTCTGTGCTTGCCCCACGGACTTCTCACCAGCACTCCTATCGGGAAGTTAGGAGGGAAGGCGGACAGGGTGTCCCATCCCAGGCCTTGTAAGCGATCCTCAGTGTGTCCCAGGTGGCTGTCTTGCCCTATGCTCCCCGGACCTGGTTTGCCCTGCATGCATGCAGGGCCATGAAACAGCCCTGGCTGCAGGGAGACTGCATGGCTGGTAGGTTGGTTGGGCAGGGCTCCTGGTGCTTCCCTGGCCTGGCCATGTCTGCCCTTTGTTTGGGTGAGCGCTTTGCTCTGTCTCTTGTGTGTTCCTGGCCAATCTTTAACCGCAGTGAGAGGTTTGATGCTTACACGAGGTTCACAGGCTTTTAAATCCACACATCGTAGAGGCTTCCTTCTGCAGTTTTTTGCCATGAACATGAACTGAAATAATGTACTTAACTATAACCTACTACTGATCTCTTCCCCCCTCTGTAATCCCCCTGTAGGTGTAAAATACCAAATACACAAATAAAAGCACACAATTTCACAGTGGCAGGCTCTTTGGTATTCCGTTTGAGCCCTACAGAGAACTGTTTCCTGTACCTGTTCTTTTGTTGACTGTCAGAGGCAAGGTAAACGTTCGTAAAATCATTAGTGGCCCAGAAGCTTATCTTTCTGAACAGGATGGGGAGGGAGAGAAATGAGAGCAGCTTTTCAGGTAGCCCAGGGATCCTGTAAATAACACCAAGATGCCTTGGAATTGGTAGAGGTCTTGCTCACGTGCATCAGGCTCTTGAAATTAAGAGTGCGCTCACTAGATCTTTTCTTTTTAAGTACTCTATCAAATGAGAAGGATGAAGAATGACATTCCGCCTCACTAGCAGTCCTGGCTAGCACAAGATCACAAAGAGAAAAAAATAACTACCGCACGCCCGTTCAAATGGCAGACATCACGACCCAACAAACCGGTTGCTAGAGAGTTTGTGGGTCTCATGTCTTACAGAGGAGTGTGTAAATGGGAACTACACTTGGGGACTTAACTTGAAAATGGCATGTGTCCATGTTCTGTAGCCCAGTGGTTCGCCTCCCGGGTACGTGCCCCAGAGAAAATTCACAAGAGCAGCAAAAGCTGTGTTCAGATGATGGAGTGAACCAAAGGCACACAGCATTGGATCACGACGCAGTAGATGGAAAATAAGCCCAAGCGCTGACAGACAGCATGGTGCTTTTATAAAATACAAAACGCTTTAGAAATCTACAGACATGTAGAGAACAAAGCAAAAGAAGCAGGTCCTGAGGTTGGGGGAGGCAGGAAGATGACGATACTCTGGGTTCCTTTGGGTAGTGAGTTCACAACCAAGAATAAATGTTGGAACCGGCTGGGGAGGGAGGGGGTGGAAGGGAGGCTCATTTGCACCTTAAGACGTGGGGGTAGCAGGTGACATACGTGGCTCCAGGGGCTTCTAGCATGTTGTACACACTTATCCAGGTGATTTTTCTGAAGGAAATGCATAGCTTCCCATCAGGCTTTAGGACATGTATGACCCCAGAAGATTCTCAGCTTGGAATTGTTTTTAGAGCTGTCGCATTGTTACCTGGGTATCTTGATTGGGTCACGAATGTGCACACAGCACGCACTCAGTGAACTGAAAAAAGCGAGGTGTCTGGAGTGATGATGAAGGTTTGGGGACAGGTCGTGGTGATGGTTGTGCCGCGCTGTGAATGTAATGCTACTGAATCACACGCTTAAAAGTGGTTTAAATGGTCATGAGAAACTTGTAATACACAAAAACTGTTGAATTATTAAAAAAAAATTTTTTTAACCTTAAGTGCACTAGAATTGACGCAACTGGACATGAACTGTGTAGTTTTTCGAGGCTTGTTTTCTGAGTCACAACCCAGTGGTTTATAAATAAAATAGAACCTTGGAGGACTTAGAAAATTGCCTGGAAGGGGGACGGCATCCTTTTTTCACACTCAAGTATAAAAAGGGTCCTTGGGTTGACCAGCCCCCATTATTGCAGATGGGAAATGGGCTCAGAGGGGGCCTGCGGGCTTCTAGGTCCTGCTGCAGATTGACCTGGAGACTTTGCCAGTGTTCGGAGGTCACTTCTGCCATTGCCAAGGCCCAAGACAGAAGCCAGGTGTAGGACAGCTCCTTCCCATCGGACAAGTGGAGCCTCTGTCAGTCTCTGCCCGCTGGAAACCCCCGGGCACGCGCACGGTCCAAGGATCAACGGACACCGACCCCGGCCCGGCCTGGTCGTGCGAGTGGGGGTCAGGCAGGTGGTCCCAGCAAGGAGGGCTGCTGGTGCGCACCCACCGATCTCCCTGCACTTGTGGGTGCTGGGAAGACAACAGACTGGAGACTTTGGGTTCAAATCCAACATAGCTTCCGTGGGCCTCCAGTCTTTTCACCTGTGTAAGTGAAATCCAACGGGCCAGTTACCAAGGGAACTGAATGCAGCATTGCCCAGCATGGAGCAAGGGAGTGTGGTGGTGCCCGCACAGGCACAGGTCTGGGAGTCAGACAGACAGCTTGACCGTGCCTGGGGATGGGGACAAGTTCCTGGCGGCGAGGCCCACAGATCTCTGACAATCAAGGCCCGGCTGGCGCACTACTCTTCTTCCCCACGGGGTGGCAGCCGCGGGCAGCCCTGGCCCGCTGTGCCTTCGGGGCTGGGCCTCCTGTCTGAGCCCTGGCCACCCCCGACAGGCTGAAAGAGAAACCCAGTCCTCTGGCCCAGAGGGGCCCCTGGGGCTGAAAGAGAAACCCAGTCTCCTGCCCAGAGGGGCCCCTGGGACCAGGAAGCCCAGGTTCTGAAATGCCAGACTGACGGGGGTTTCCCTGGGGTCTCCTGGGAGTGGAGGTGCCACCAGGAGTTTGATGGCCTTGGGCCAGTCATTTAATGCCCAGTAACAGGAGGCACGGAAGCACCCCGTATATTTATGGGTCCCCCCCAGAAGCTGGTGACAGCAGGAGCGGCAGCTGCGGGAGGGGGCCTCGGAACAGGGGGAAGGGGGCAGGGGGGAGCCATGGCTGGTGGATCATCCCCCCTTCTGCCCTTCACCTTGCCTCCCCATCCTGCTTCCTTGTTCGGCCTGCCCCGGCGCACACCTGCCTGCATCCCTCTGCCCCGTGTTCTGTGGGAGCGCGCACGGGTGTCTGTGAGTGTGTGTGTGTGTGTGTGTGTGTGTGTGTGTGTGTGTGTGTGTGTGACTCAGCCTCTCCCTGTCTGTCTGTGTCTGTCTGTCTCTGGCCCTCTCCCTCCCTGGGTGTGTGTTGGGGGGCGGTTAGTGTGCGTGTGTGTCTCTCCATGTCTTCCTGTCCCTCCTCCCCGCGGGCTGCCCGTGTGTGTGTGTGTGTGTCCGTCCGTTTGAGCACCCGACTTCGTTCTCTTGCTCCCTATCCCTCTGTTGTCTCTTCCTCTTTGTGTGACTTGAGGTCACGCGCGTGTATGCAGTGTGTGTGTGTGTCTGTCCTTGTCTCTGGCCTCTCTGAGCCTGTGTTCATGTCTGTCTCTCTCTCCCCCTCTGTCTCTCAGTGTCTCTCCCTGTCTCTGCGAGCGTCTCTGGGTCCCCGGCTGTTCGCGGCAGGGCCGGTCCGGCAGAGCAGCGGATGTGCGAGGGCTGATTCGGGGGCCGACAGGAAGCCCGCCACCTCGCCTGCTGCCTGCCAGTCTCGGTGGCGGCGGCGGTGGCTCGGGCAGGTGTGTGGGCTCAGGATGAGGTGGCCGCAGTGAGGAGCCCCCCGACTCTCAGGTAAGCCCGGCAGGGGGTCCTGAGTCTGCCTCCCACCAGGGGTGGGAATGGCCCTGCTGGCCCCGCAGGAGGGCTGAGGTGGGGGGCGGGGGTTGCCTGGCTCGGGGGCTGGGAAGATGCCAGGCCACCTGGCTCTCCCTCGCTGGGCCCCAGTCCCGCCCTGACGCCCCTGGCTAGGGAGCCCTCTCCCCAGACCCTGCAGCACTTCGAGGGCAGACTGTTTCTGGGGCTCCGGCGCTTTCCCACCCTCACCTTCCCCTGCCCAGCCTTCCCAGGCCTGGGGAAGCCTCCAGAATGGGCTCATCGCTTCCAGAGAGCGGTGAGGGGCCAGACCCACGGGCCTTGGTTTCTTCATCTGTGGAATGGGACTGTAACGTCCCTGCCACTAGGCTACGGGAGGATGGATGAGACTCTCCGGACAAGGGTGCCCAGGGCCTAACCCCCAGGCCAGGCCAGGCCGAGCAGCCCTCCCGCCACCCCCCACCCAGCCCCCAGCCTGGCCCACCAGCTCTCTGCTGGGGAGCTCCTTGACCCTGGCCGTCACCATTCCCCACCGCTGCCCCAGGACCAGGGCTGCCCAGGCCCCCTCACTGGCCACCTGAGCATTAGGAGCCTCCATAGAGGCCCCTGGGTCGGCCTTATCTGAAGGCCAGGATGACATGGGAAAATGGAATGGGCACAGGATAAAGCCTCCCCAGGGCTCGGACCCAACCTCTCGTTCCTACCCCATAGCCTGCCCTGTGGCCCTGGGAGTCCTCCGTTTCCTCGTGTAGGGCCGGAGGCCGGCTGAGAGATTGGGCATGAGGGTCTCCCAGGGCCTTTCCGGCTTGCCCAGCCCAGCCCCAAGGGCTTTCCCCCCGCCCGGCTGTTGCAAACTTTGTTCATCTGAAAACTGCGCACTTCCCTTTGTGCTATTTTGGCCTGCAGCTCCTCGGCCTGTGGCCTCCTCGCCTCCCCACCCCACCCAGCCCTGCCTGCCCCTTGGGGCCCTCCCGGGGCCTCTGGGCCTGCCTCTCCTAGGGGCTCAGCCTCCTCCCCCAACCCTTATCCGCCTGCCCTCAGATCCTGGCGGGGAAAGCCCGGCCAGAGGGCAGATGTAGTCAGTCTAGGGGCAGCCGTGGGCCTGTCCCTCAAATTGGTCTCTCTTTTTAAAAAATATTTCATGGTTCTTAAAAAGGTAATATAAAACAGGAGTCAAAGAGCAGGGAGGGCCTTGGGGATCAGCCCGGCCTGAGCTTGGGGATCCTGGCTCCGTGGCTAGCTGGATGAACTTGGACAAGTTCCCGCCTCTCGGGGCCTCGCTCTCCTCCCTGGCATTTCCCACATGACACTTGGCGTGTCTGTGACAACTGAGGGGCTGGGGCCGATCCCAGCCCGCCCTGGGGGTCCCGGCACGAGGGCCTGCGCGCGGGGCGGTAGGGCGGTGGAGGGAGGCTCAGGCCCCGCGTACCCTGGGCACCGGGCAGGGAGGCCCTGGTAAGGTTGCTCCACACTGTCTGCTGCTGGCCCCCTCACCCCCAAAGGCTGTTCGGCCTGCCCCGGCGCACACCTGCCCGCATCCCTCTGCCCCATGTTCTGTGGGAGCGCGCACGGGTGTCCGTGAGTGTGTGTGTGTGTGTGTGTGTGTGTGTCCGTGACTCAGCCTCTCCCTGTCTGTCTGTGTGTGTCTGTCTCTGGCCCTCTCCCTTCCTGGGTGTGTGCTGCCCCGTCCCCTTCCACAGGGACCCTGAGATGGCAAGTCACGGTAGTCATGCAACTGTGTCTCCCCCGCCTTCGTGCATCATCTCGATGCTGGGCCTCATGACAAACCCGCAGGATGAGTGTCCTTATTTCCCCATTTCCGAGGGGCTACGGAAGGCCAGCAGTACCGGGCTCCCACAGCGGGGCCCACTCGGCGTTCTCATCCCCCGCCCTCCCCCAGTGCCAGGCAGATATGGTGGACCAGGGCTGGGGGCACCCCCCGACTGTGTTGCTTGACCCAGGAGAGCAGGGGGGGCCAGGAAGCAAGAGCGCTCCCTGGTGGCCCAGGATTCCCTGGGCTGGAGGGCCGCCCTTCCCCGGGACGGCTGCAAAGGTCGGCAGGCCGGGTCCTGGGGCCTCAAGTGCCAGGCCCCTGGAGCACAAGCGAGTTCTCCGAACCAGCCGGCCAGAAATACGAGCCCTAGCAGGTTTCTCTCTGGGAAGCCTGGATACTGAGCCCGGCTGCTTCTCATCGGCCAGTAGTTCCTTGAGGAAGGCACCAGGTTGAGCCCCATTTTACAGATGAGAAGACTGAGGCCAACAGACCCCGAGGCACGGGCAGGAGTCCTCCCTCCAGGACCCGGTGCTTCCAACCCCACACAGCCTGAAGCGCCCTTGGGCTGGGCTAGAGGCACAGCAGAGGGGGCAGGAGGAGGCTGTGCAGGCTGGGAGGCCGGGGCCCAGGCCCTGAGAGCAGGGGCCTCCCCGCGGACGCCCTCCTGGGGTGACAGGGCCATCCCATCACAAGGTTTCCACTGACTCACTTGCTGTTTGGGGAGGGAGAGGCGGCTTCTCCGGGACGGCCCCGATGGAGGCTCAGGGTTGCTCAGAGGCTCCTTGTCATTTGTTGCGTGAGGGTTCGGGAAGCTCGGAGAGGTGAGGGGGACAGCCGGGTGCAGCCGAGGCCTTGGGGGAGCCCGAAACAGGAGCTGGGCAGTACAGAGCTCAGCTTCTCCCTGAGCTTCGACTTCCCCAGCCGTAAAGTGGGGAGAAGCCCTCCTCCCGGGTGGCCAAGCTGGGAAAAACAACATGCCCAGAGGGGACGCTCAGGGGTGTGGGCAGGGCCCCCTCGGAGACCCCACTGTGGCCCTCAGCTGTGTCCCTGGCCACTGCCAGGAGACTGAGTCTCTCCAGTTGCAGTGATTCTCCTCAGAAGCCCCCTTAAGAGGGTTGTACTTGCCCCCTGCCCAGGCCCTGGTATGTGGCTGCCTGTGGCTTCGCCAAGGACTGGCCATCACAGCACGGCTCCACCCCAGGGACCAGTCACTGACCCAGCAGTGGCCCAGTGCCAGGCGGGGTTCAGAGCCTCCTCACCCCGCAGAGACCCCCTCCCAGTACATCCCACCTCCACCAGCCCTGGGCAGCCCACCAGGTCTCCGCCCAGAGTACCCTTCTCCCCCTTATGCCTCAGGAACCCCTCAGTGTTTAAAGAATGGAAACCCCGGGGCACCTGGGTGGCTCAGTCGGTTAAGCGTCTGCCTTCAGCTCAGGTCGTGATCCCAGGGTCCTGGGATCAGGTCCCACATCGGGCTCCTTGCTCGGTGGGAAGCCTGCTTCTCCCTCTGCCTGCCATTCCCCCTGCTTGTGCTCTCTCTCTCTGACAAATAAATAAAATATTTTTAAAGAAAGAAAGAACGGAAATCCCACTCCCAGCTCCCCCAGGGGGCCCATGGATAAGGAGCAGAGAGGCACCCTGGGGTGCGTGGGGGCTGCCAGGGCTCCTCTGGAAGGGGCCGAGGACTGAGCTCAGGGAACAAAGCTGGGTTTACAGGAGGCAACAGGTGAGCCGGAGTTAGGATCCAGAGGCCGGAGTTTGAATCCTGCCTTTCTCCTTCGCAGCTGGGATCCCCAGCCTCAGTTTCTGTATTTGTGAAATGTTGGGAGCCTCTCCCTGCCTCCCCCCGCCCCCTGTGGGGGGTTGTGTGGATTAAGCAAAGGCACGTTTGGGACACGTACACATGGTGCTGTCTGGTGGGTTCCCAGAACCTTCTAGCACTTAGCAAATGTGGGGGATGGCCCTGGGGGCCCGGGGTGTGGGTCTTGGGTCAGACGGGGGAGCAGGGCTTGCCGCAGCCTGACCCAGTCCTCGGACAGGGACGGGAGATGGTGCTCCTGTGGTCGGGGCGCCACTGCGGGGCTGTCAGGAGAAGGGGGCAACAGACACCCGACAGTGTGGGGCTCGGGGGGGACTCCGGAGGGCTGGTCACAGGGGGTCCTACGTTGTGGCGCTGCAGGGCGCGTGGCCAGGAGCAGACATGAATGTGGAGAGCGAGCTGCTGTGGCCCTGGGTGGCCCTGCTGCTGCTGCTGGGGACTGTGGCCGGCCTGTGCGTGCGCTGCTCCCGCCCAGGTAAGGGGGCGCTTGGGGACAGGGGCGGGGTCCCCAGCCCTGGTTGCGGTCCAGGGGCAGTCGGAGAAGTTTCACAAGGCAGGGAGGAAGCCCCTAAACCACCCCTGAAGTCGGTGGGCCTGGCTCACCGTGGGGCTTTGGTTTTGCTGGGGCAGGGGAATGTTCTGGAAAAACGGGGGTGAGGGGGCTGCCGTGCTGCCTGCAGCACCCACCTTCTCCACACTCTGCTCTCCTAATAGGTGGTGAGCAAGCACCCCGTCCATGAGAGGTGGCCCACAGGGATTGGCGGTCCGGCCCCCGCGTCCCATCTGAGGCCTGCCCAGGGCCTCAGTTCCCACCCGGGCTTGGGGTCGCTTGCTAATCTGGTCTTGTTCTTGCAGCCGTGAAGAAGTCTGAGAAGATCTATGAGCAGAGGAGCCTGTGAGTGCCTCAGTGTCCCCAGCCCCGTGACTTCGTGTGCCCTGACTGTGGGCATCCACCTGGGCGTCCTCTCGCGTGTCCACGCACCCCTTCCCTCACCCCTCACTCCCACCGCCCCCACACTGGGCTCTGGTGGGTCCCGAGCAGTCCAGGGAGGGAGGGACCCTTGGGGCTCCCCATGCGCTTCCCCCATCTGGTCCGGGAGGGCTTTGGGGGGAGGGGGTGCCACTCTCCAGCGTGCCCCCCTGCATCTCCAGAGATCCTCCCTCTGCCCCCAGCCCAGGGGGGCCCACCGTGCTGGTGCTGGGGGTTGACAGAGAGTTCTGCCCTCCCGGGCAATGGGGGGAACAGAGACTGGGCACAAAGCAAAACGTGAGCCATGCTCAAGTCTCCCCTGGAAAATGCTAACAGAGCTTCTCCGGGAGGATGTGGGCATGTCCTTGGGGGGTAGGGAAGGCCTGATGGAGGAGATGGGGAGGATGTTAAGAGAGAAGGCAAAAGGGGACATTCCAGAGAGAGAACAGGGTGGGCGCCCCGCCCCCCCCGCCCCCCCCCCCCCCCCCCCCCCCCCCCCCCCGCAGGACTGGGGCGGACACTTTCTTCTGGAGAGGAGGTGGTACGCGTGGGTGTATCTTGAGAGGCATGAGCTGGGTGAGGAGGAAGGAGAGTCTTGACTGTGGGGAGAGCCCATGACCTTTGTCCTAAGGGCCCAGGGAAGTAGGGGTAGAGAGGAAATGGGGTTGGGGGGGTCACTGACCCCAGGCCGAGCAGCTGGATCCGGCAGGATGGAGCTCCAGGCACCTCGGGGGCAGGCGAGCTGCTCTATGTATGAGCCCTGGGAGGGTCAGCGGTGCGGGACGCTGCAGACCACGGCGTGGCCCAAGGACACCCCGGGGAGGGAGGGGGGCGGCCACCGGTGTCCTTGCGCTGAGCAGGAAAGTGACTGACGGAGCGCCCGGGGGCCTCTGAGACCTGCGTGCACACATGAGCACACATGGGCCAGCACGCCGGCTCACACCCACTAGTGCCCCCCCCCCCACACTCCTGCTCAGGCGTGCACTCCTCTCCTCACCCCTGTGTGTGCCTGCCTGGGGAAGGAACTCACGTACAAATGCACACACACCCTTTCTCATTTCCTTTTGCAACTGAAAAACCACAATGAAATATGAAAATAGAATGTCCCCATCCATGCCCACCCCTGAGGCTGGGCTTTTCTGGCCACTTGGTCCTCTGGATGACCCACCCACAGCCTCCACCAGGGGTGAAGGGGGCTGGGATCCCCTGTTGCCCCCCCCATGCCTCTGCCCCAAGGCAGGCCTCCCCAGTATCTCCCCTCCTCTCTCAGTGCCTGCCCACTCTGGGCCTCTGATTGATGTTAGAAACAGGCCGTTTGAGCCAGAAGTGAAACTGTCATAGTGGGAAGTGGGAAGGCTCGGCCTGGGCAGGAGGAGGCGGGAGGGGAGACTCGGGTTCTCCCCACTTCACTTGGGTTCAGTCCTGCCCGTGCATTTAGGGCATCCTTCCTAAATCAGGTCACCCTGACCGCTCCAGCTGCCCCTCCCCGGAAGCTCCTGGAAGGCTTGGCCAGGTACCCTTTCTGGTCCAGAGGAGGGACCCAAATGGACTTTAAATGTTTAGCTAATCTGCTCTACCATCTTTAGCAGTGGCTTCCATCCTCAAGGGAACTTCATGATCCATAATGGCGGCTAGAGCTCCAGCCCTCATCTCTGTGTTCCAGGCAGTAGTAAGAATGAAGGGCAAGGACAGAAAGGGTGCACCCCTGTTGGCAGCGCCTCCTCTGAAGTCCCAACAATCTTGGCTGGCATTTCACTGACTAGAGCTTAATCACATGGCCATACTCAGGCACAAGGGAGGCTGGAAAATACAGTCTTTTAGTTGGGCCTAAATAAATAAAAATCCCATTTCAGTGGAAGAAGGGAACACCACGCATGGCCAGGTACCTTGCTGTGTCTGCTAAGCCTTGGGAAGTTGCCTCGCCAGTTACTTGGGAGTAAAGGGTGTGTTTGGACATCCCAAGAGGGGTTGAAGTTACCCTCTCGTTGAAGTCCCTGAAGAGCCGCCCGACCCTCACCTCAGAATCGGAGGGCCACCTCCCCAGCCCCGCCCACAGACCCTCCAGACCATCTCCGGGGTTCCTGGGGAGGCCGCGGAGGCTCCGGCTCGGGGCCACGTGAGAAGGGTGGGCGCCTGGCGGGCAGCTCAGAGAAAGGGGGGAGCCCTGGATCGGAGGCCCAGAGGGGTGGCGGCTCCTCACTCTCGCCCTGGTCCGTCCCTCCCCTCTCTGTTCCTTGGCCCTGTCTGTCCGTCTCTCCTGTCTCTCTGTCCCTCCGGCTGTGGGAGGCTGGGCCCTGGCTCAGCGGAGCTCCATGTTTTCCCAGGGAGGAGAATCAACAGAACTTGGCGCTGGCCCGGACCTATTCTTGTGAGTTCTTGAACCGAAGGGTCCGGGGACTGGGCTCGGGGTTGGGGTGTCCATATGGGGACTGTGGCCAGGCCCTATCTGGTAGAGTGGGGGAACGGCCCTGGCAGGCGGGCCCGGACGCCCGGCCAACAGCCCCTTGTCCTTTGCAGTGATCAGGCAGGCCTGGCCCGGGCCCCTGGCGGACGCAGACTCTGACATAGCGCCAACAAGGTAGGGACAATCCGAGGCCTGGAGGGGGTCACAGCCCCATAGGAGGCCACGGGAAAGAGAGCCCCGGAGGGCCCCACCTGGCTGAGCTCAGGCCAAGACCTTGGACGTCAGAGCCCCAGAGCTGGATTGTGAGGGCCCCACGAGGGGGCTGTACGGCTGTGGGGCTGTGGTTCAGAAAACCCCAAGGCCTTTCCCCATCCGGCCCCTCTCAGCCCCTCCCTCCCCCCCTTTCCTGCAGGAAGGACAAGCTGCTGAGGTTCTCCCCCAGCCTTGAGGGTGAGTGGTCCTCAGACACAGGGGTGGGGGCAGGGGTGAGGTGGGACTGAGACAGGTGACTACCTGGTGGGACAGTACCTGTGCAGCGGAGGCCTGGAGGACGAGGGGAGCTGGGCCGGGAGGCCCCCGGGTTGGCCTAGCGGGGGAGAGGATGGAGAGCAGGGGTCAAGGTGGGAAGGTAGGAGACACCCGGGTTCTTGAAGGCCCTTCCCTTGGGGAGGGGGGCGGGGCAGGGGTGGGAGGAAGCCATGAGCCCGGCCTTTCTTCCAGATTCTGAGTCCTCCAGGTACCAGAACTTCAGCAAAGGTGGGTGGGATCCTGGGAGGTGGGGGCTGCGGTGGGGCCCAGGGCCCAGTGCTCGGGCCTAATCGTCACCTCCTCCTGCAGAGAGCAGACATGGATCCAGATCCAGATCCGATGCAGCCTACGTGTGAGTGGCCTTAAGCAGGGCCGGCACCTCCTCCCCGCCCCCCCCCGCGCCCCCCCCTGCCGGGTTTCCCCCTTTATGAAAGCTTCCGGCCCTAGAACACACTGGCCCAGGCAGGTGCTCAGTAGCATCACGTCCCCTCAGTTGGCCATGGCTTTGTGGGGACAGGGGCGTGGCCCTGCTCCAGGGAGGGCTTGTCTGGGGGACTCATCCTGCATCACCCAGAGATAAGGGAGGAAGGGCCCTCAGGGATGTGTCACGGATGGGTAAACTTAGGCCCAGGGAAGATGGGGACTCGCCTAGAGTCACAAGTCAGGATAGCCGGAGCCAGGCTGGGTGGCTTAGGGGCCCAGGGAAGACGGACGGAGGGACCAGGGAAGGACGGAGGGGGGGCCCAGGGGGGTGATGGCTGGAACAGCCCTGTCATCCGTGTCCCCCACAATGCCCCCACCCCGAGCCCCGGCCTGCCCAGCAACCGCTCTGGGTCTGTGTTTTCTTGCCAGAGAACCCATCACCACGGACTATTACAACTGGGGGCAGATCCAGAAGCCCAGGGAAGGTGAGGTGCAGGAGGAGGAGAGGAGGAAGTGGCGAGCTGCAGGTCAAGGCCGTAGAGGAGGGCGGGGAGGCTGGGCCTAGGTTTGGATGGGTGGCGGAGTTGGGGAGCCGGGGGAGGCTGGTGGTGGGGGAACAGAGTAGGGAAGGGATGTGGGGGGGGGCAGGGAGGGGAGAGGGGTGTGGGCCACAGAGGTGAGGGAACCAGAAGGGGAGCTGGGACCAGGGGCAGCGGGGGAGGCTGAGCCTCTGGTCACGCGGGCCCCCCTCAGGGCTGGGCAGCCACTGATGAGTACACGTGGGACCTCGGAGGAAGGGCCTGGGCCGGGCAGCCTTGCTGACAGACGCTGAGCCCTGCAGGCTCTGAGGAGGCTGAGATCTTGGGCCCTTAACACCTTGGCTTTACAGAAAAAGAAACTGAGGACCGAGGGTGGGCCGGGCCTGCTGAGAGGTCTGGGGAGGCCACACTGGGCTGGGGGTTGGGGCGCATGGCGGGCAGAGGGAGGGGGCCTCTTCCTCCCCCCCTGCCGCTGCTGAATATGGGAGGGACCCTCATGTCTTGGAGCCCCTTTGACACAGAAGGCTGCTGGGTAGGGCAGCGGTTAGAGCTCAGCTCGCAGGGGCGATGAGGGGGTGCCAGGCTCCGCTAGGGCCACATCCAGCCTAGGCCCACCGTGCCCTGCCCAAAGGCACGGCTTTAGGATCGGCCTAGGCCTGCTTCCCGTCTCTCCTCAGCCCCCAGCGGCTCTCCCTGCCCCTCGTTGCCCGATAGCAACGGGCCTCCCTCCCTCCAACTATCCAATTGCCTGATTGCAAGCCCGTCCCCACATCTCCCCTCCCCAGTGCATTTGGGGTGACCTCGGAGGGCCCATGAAGGAGCTGGAGCCAGGCCAGCGCCCGCTAAGAATCTTGTCCAGGAGAATGTTCGGAGACTCCACGGGGGACCCAGAGGGCTGGGGGCTTGGCGGGACAGGTCACCGGCCGAGGGAAGGCAGGGTGGAGGGAGGGAGGGGAGAAAAGCCAGGCCTGCCGGGCAGGGCCCCCCACCAACCTGACCCTCACCCCCTCCCTGGCAGATGACGATGATGACGATGCCAATTCCTACGAGAACGTGCTCATCTGCAAGCCGAAGGACCCCGAGTCGGGTGAGGCCGCCAGCCCCGGGGAACTGGGCGGGGAGGCCTCCTCGGCCAGGCCCGCCCACACCGCTCAAAGGCACCCCCTGCCTCGAAGCCCGAAGGTTCACCGTTTGCTCGAGTACCTGCACGAGGCCCCGGGGGTCCCGGCCTTAGGGAGCATGCAGGGGGCCTGAGGACTTGCCGCGGTGGCTGCCACCTGTACCAGCCCCTCTCCCGGTGTCTCCCTGCAGGCGACGAGGGATCCGAGGATTACCAGAACTCAGCATCCATCCGGCAGTGGCGGGAGTCCAGGAGGGCCGCGGGTGCGTGGCCGGAGAGCAGGGGTTCCCGGGTGGTCAGCTTCAGCAGGCTGGGGAGGGCCTGGCCTGGGAGGATCGGGCAGTGGGGGGGGCGAGGGAGGGACAGTCGGGGGGGGGGCAGGCTCCCCTGCGGCCCTTGCAGCTGACTTCACAGTGACACCTCTGGCCCATCAGTGGCCACAGCGGCCTGGAACCATGCCAGAACCAGGACGCCCGCCCAGCCGCCCCCGGGGTGGAAATCTCCTGCAAACCCCAGAGATGGGGACTGGCACAGTGTTCCGTGGAGCGTTTCCTGCAGGCTGTTTTGTGGCGCCCGGGGCCCTGGGCCTGGGCGTCTGGCTGGGGGAACAGGTGTGGGTGTGTCCGCATGAGCCGTCTGCCCACCGTCTGCCCATCTGCCCGCTGGTCCGCAGAGCGAGTCCCGAGGGAAGAGCCCCTGTCCCTGGCAGGCAGCCCAGATGAGGACAGCGAGGACCCCGATTATGTGAATCAGAATGTGGCAGCCACAGAAGTCTAGGAAGGATCTGGAAGGAAGGTACAGCTGCCTCGGCCCAGGGTGCTGGTGCTCACAACCTGAGGGAGGGGCCCCATCGAAGGGAAAAACAGGGCTGGAGGAGCCACACGGGAGCCCCGGTGGGGGGGGGGTCAAGGAGTAGCACCCATGGGTGCTGAAATGGGTGGCTCTGTAGGGTGTTGGGACTGAGCTCCTGAGCCGTCCTGCCCCCAACGCCCACGGCAGACCCAGGGAGGTCACAGCTCCACCCACGGCAGACACCAGGGTCTCAGGCGGCTGTTGGGGCTGTCAGGCTGGGGAGGCTGGTGAGTTGTGGGGTGCAGGGGTGGGCTCCGGGCGGCTCTCTGCAACCTCGAGCAAGTGGCTCAGCACCCCCGGGACCATTTCCTCACCCGCAAAATGGAGCAAATGGGACACAGCACGTGAAGGACTCAGGCACAGGGCTGGGCCTGGGAGGTAGAGGATGGCACCCATGACGGGCGCGCTGGACCGAGTCTGCAGCACCCACCGCACCAGCCAGCATGGGGCTGAGTGCTCCCGCGCCTCGGCGCAGCCCCCCCGCAACGCACAGAGTGCTCAGCCTCCCGTCCCAGGCCCCACTGAGAGTCAGCTGCTGGGGCCCAGGCTGTGCCACCGCGTGGGAGGCAGGCCTGACCCCAGTGGGGTCTCGAAGGCCCCCTGAAGTCCCAATCGGGGCAGGCGGGCGGGCGGCCCCCGGGCTGTGAGGGCCCCACAGCAGGAGAGGCCATAGAAGCCTGAGCCCACCGCTCACACACTCCCCAACATCTACTGGGCCCCTGCTGGCGGCAAGTCAGCCTTAGGTGCTGGGGACCCAGCAATAAACGAAATCCACCCATGGGTCCCTGGAGCGTGTGACTCTTCATCTCAGGGTTTCGAGTTCAAGCCCCACGTTGGGTATAGAGATGACTTAAAAATAAAATCTTAGACAAGAAAGAAATCCCACCCCAATAAATCCCTTACCGTTCAGGACGTCACTGTGGTGAGAGTGATGACACGGATGGCTGTGGGCTGAGAGAGAGGGCAGGAAGGACAGGCAGCATGTGAGCGGGTGATAAGCCCTGTGGGGACAAACCCACGGGGAGGAGGCCGCGGACCACGGGGCTGGGCTGCCCAGGGCAGCTGGGGGTGCTCCCTCCCCGGCCCGCGATGGGGGCCGAAGCGCGCCCAGAGGGTCTGACAACAGGGGAGGGGGCAGCCACACAGCGGCCCCTGGGTTTTCTGAGATGGGAGGGGGCGCAGCCTGGGAGCCTGGGAACGGAATCCCTGGCTGCTGAGGAGGGAAATGAATTCAGGGGGCAGCAAGGGATGCACAGAGACCAGTGAGAATCCAGGTAAAAGGTGACTTCTTGGCTCAGGGTGGAGGCAAACATGAATAGGGTTTTGTTTGGTCTTAGATTTTTTTTTTTTAAGTTTGTTTATTTCTAAGTACTCCCTACACCCAACGTGGGGCTCGAACTCACGACCCCAAGATCAAGAGTCGCACGCTCTCCCAACTGAGCCTGCCAGGCGCCCCGTCTCTGTGTTTTTTTTGAAATTTTTTCTTTGATTTCTTTGTTGACCCATTGGTTGTTTAGTATCACATTGGTTAACCTCCACGTGTCTGCATTTTTCCATTTTTCTTGTGATTTCTAGTTTCGTACCCCTGTGGTCGGAGAGGATGTATGGTATGATTTCAGTCTTCTTACGTTTATTGAGGCTTGTTTGGTGGCCTGACATGTTTCCTGTTCTGAAGGATGTTCCATGTGTACTTGAAAAGAATGTGTACTCTGTTGTTTGGGATGGAATGTTCTGTATTTACCCGTTATGTCCGAATCGGGAGTTGGTTTTGAAGGCGGAGCGCACAGGACTCATTGAGGCAGTGGGTGCTGGGGGGCCAGGAGCTGAGGGGCTGCAGGGTTTTTGGCCGAGCAACAAGAGGATGTCACTGTCCCCAGCCGAGGTGTGAGAGGCTGTGGGCAGAGCAGGCCCTGTGGGCAGGCCAGCTTATTTCTGGACGTGTTCGGCTCGAGCTGCCCGCGTGGGGAGAAATAGGAAGTGCACAGCTAGACAGCTGAGCCTGGACTGAGGGCGAGGCCAGGCTGGAGACAGACGCGGGGTGTCGTCATTGAGAGTGACAACAGTCAGCCCCCGGGGAGTGAGGCCGAGAAGAGGGGCCGGCACTGAGGCCAAAGGCTGGGAGGCAAAGCGGCGAAGGGCAGTGTCCTGGGCCCGAGGAAGGCACTTTGGGTGGGTGTGAGCAGGCGCCAGGCAGGCGGTGGGCACGTGAGCAGGCGCCAGGCAGGCGGTGGGCACTGGTGGGCACTGGTGAGACTCGATGGTGGTGGGGAGAAGGCCTGCTTGTATTCAGAGCACAGGAGTCCCAAGACAGGGAGTAGAGAACATTCCAGAAGTTCCACTTCAGAGGCGAGCAGAGACATGGGGCAGGAGCCGGAGGGGTTGTGCAGGGGGTTTTGAGCTGGAAGGTGGGGTGGCAGGAAGGATGCCGTCGGTTCAAGCTTGGGGTCCGGCCGAGGCTGGATGGAAACTTCGCATGCTGGATGCTGTCCTGCCCCGGGGTCCGGACTCCACAGGCCAGCGTCCACGGTGGCTCGCTGGGGGCGGGAGTGACCCGATCCCTGGGTTCAAAGATGTGGGCGGGCTGCCGAGTGAGGCAGAAGCGGGGCTGAGTTAGAGCTGACGCTCCTGGCAGGTCCCTTCTGGGTGGGAGGGGAGCGGGCGGGCGTTGGAGGCGAGCGCCAGTCACCAGCCCTGTACCAATTAACCACAGCCTCGGCCAGGACCGATTAACTGCAGCCTCGGCCAGGATCAGTGAGCACAGGGACTTCAAAGGGGAAGAAGGCTGCTTGATGGGCGGGTTCTTCTCAGCTGCTACAGGAAGGCGGCCAGACACTGACCATCATCATGACCCTGACCCAGCGCAGGGGGAAGAAAGTGCTAGTCCAGGCAACCCTTTCCCTTTTAACAAACCTTTTTGGTCTTCATCAAGGAGCCGAGGGAACCACCAGGCTGAGGGCTATTTCCTGCCTCCCCCGGGCTCACTTCTCTCTCCGGAGCTGCCCAACCTCGACACCCCCCACGGTTACCCCTGGGAGATGCACTGAGGCGTCTGGAGGCCCGTCCATCAGGCCATGGGGGACCAGCTGGGGGAAGGACAGTTACGCGGCGCATCAGGCCCTGGCCCGGCTTCTGCGGGAGCCCGAGGCTGAGGGCAGCGTGGCTTCTGACCTGATCCGATGCCCGAGGGTCAGGGCAAGCTGCATCCCCGTCCCCATGTCTGAAAACACTGTGTCGCTGGTATTCCTGTGCCTTTTTGCTTTGGACTCGGGTTCCAAATTGCTTACTAACGTCATTGCTGGGATCTTTTGCCTGATCCATAAACTTGTACAGTTAATTTATATCGGTGGAACCATATTTAATAATCCACATCTCCGGGTACAGAGTCTCGTCTGTCTCGTCTCCTGTGAGCATTACACATCATTTCAGCAGAGAGGGGGAGCCCCCGCGCTCCATTCTTTGGGCCTCAGTTCACTTGGAAGAGATGAGGCTACAGGACACCTGGGTGCCCTTCAGTGGGAACATCTGCCGTGGGCAAAGCACACCGTTTCTGGAGCAGCAGCAAGGAGTGGCTGAGTGGCACCCCTCTGTTGTCCCCAAATCCTCCCCAGCCCCAGGACTGGACTCGGCTGAGCTGATTGAGCAGGAACACAGCTGTCTCATGGGAAGTCCAGGGGCCCAAAGGGAACTTCTGAGCCAGAAAAGCCACAGCCGGAGAAGCAAGATGTTTCCTCCAACTGAAACATCTCAATAAAGCATTTTCTAAGACTAGCAATTCTCATGTTTGTTTTTTCCTTGCTTCATGCAAAACCTTCCAAGGGAGTGGAAGTCAAGCCTCCTGGAGTCCACCCTTTCCGGGATGCCCCACTAACTTTCCAAGTTAATGCCATCAGTTAGGAAATGAGAAGGAAAACCAGAACACAGCTGCTGCCCACTTGTTCCTTCACACCCGGGAGTCCCGATCTCAGGCTCAGAGACGGAGCGGGGTGCAGTGAGGCTGTGGTGGGGGCTCCAGGTGGGAGGAGTCCTGCCAACACGGTTCTGGGGTGTGAGGCACAGACACACGCCCCTGGGCCCTGGGCCTCCCCTGCAAACCTCACAGCGATCATGAGGCTCCAGATGACGAATAAGATTGAGGAAATATGTTAAAATGTCTTTTAAAACTTCACATTGCCGTTTTTGAGGACCTTAATTCTCCCCCCACCCCTTTTTGAAGAGATTTCATTTGAGAGAGTGGGAGAGAGCGAGTGAGCATGAGCAGGGGGAGGGGCAGAGGGAGAAGCAGGCTCCCCACTGAGCGTGGAGCCTGATGCGGGGCTCGATCCCCAGGACCCTGGGATCATGACCTGAGCCGAAACCAAGAGTCGGAGGCTCACCTGACTGAGCCACCCACGTGCGCCCTATTCTTTCTTTTATGTACACTGATTTTTTTTTTTTTATAATTTAAGAAAATGGGGAAAAAATAGTACCTTGTGGGGGAGGAACGATCGTACAAAGTAACGGAAAATTCACTGGCGAATTCTAAAGCAACAAGCATACGCGGTTGTACAGAAAGGGCGAGTCAGTGGGCAGGCGTCACACCACTGTCCCCGGCAGGTGACTCCTGCCGGTCCTCTCTGACGTCCTTACTGTCCCAGGCTGTCCTGAGACGTCTATCTCCGTCCCTTACCCCACGGAACTGTCCTCCAGGCTTCTAGAAGCACTGAGATCAGCCTCATCAGTCTACTATCCCCATCACCTGTGCTACTTGTCGGACGCTGGGGACACTCAGAGACGGGACGCTGGCTTTCCTTGCTGCCTGGCGACGCCACCTTAGCGCCGACAAAACCGTACAGCGTTTTTATTAACTAAGATGCCACACGTGCCCAGGTCGGGTGCCAAGCCCTGAGGTTCTCTGGGGCCCTGTCACCCTGTCACCATGTCCATGAGGCTGAGGCTGACTGCAGACACGTGTGAGAGCGGTGTGGAGACCATGGTTGTGTCAGGGGCAGGCGCATCCCCGTGCCGGTCGAGGGCGGCCTTTTTTCCAAATCAGAAGGCGCTGACTCCTGTCTCTCCTGGACGAGGACTCTCAGGACCCCTGTCACCCCGAGCAACGAGTTCTCCCCCCTAACTGGCCACCGGGGCCATTGTCTTCTGACACAGCCTGGCCAGGAGCCCTGCCATCTGCAGGAGGGAGTTCACACCTTCTGCTATCTTCATATGCGTGTATCCGATTTCCTGAAAAGCAAAGCACATGTCAATCTGGTTAATAAATGAGGGAGGGGGGCGCCGGGGTGGCTCAGTCGGTTAAGTGTCTGCCTTCGGCTCAGGTCATGGTCCCAGGGTCCTGGAATCGAGCCCCGCATCGGGCTCCCTGCTCGGTGGGAAGCCTGCTTCTCCCTCTGCCACTCCCCCTGCTTGTGTTCCCTCTCTCGCTGTGTGTCTCTCTCTGTCAAATAAATGAATAAAATCTTTTAAAAAAGAATAAGTGAGGGAGGACTTTATGTTTTTTTTTTTTAAAGATTTTATGTATTTATTTGAGAGAGAGAGAGAATGAGAGATAGAGAGCACGAGAGGGAAGAGGGTCAGAGGGAGACGCAGACTCCCTGCCGAGCAGGGAGCCCGATGCGGGACTCGATCCCGGGACTCCAGGATCATGACCTGAGCCGAAGGCAGTCGCTTAACCAACTGAGCCACCCAGGCGCCCTTTTTTTTTTTTTTTTTTTAACTTAAAATGGACGCAATGAACTCAAACTTCAGCTGGAAAAGGAACTCTTAAGTTGTCATGAGTTGTGTTTAGAGTTCAGTTTATTTGGCTATTGCCCTGTAAGGTACTGTTAAGAAAATAACAACAACAACAACAAAAAAACCCCAAAAAACAAAACAAATAAAAGCCAGGCTTGGAGAAAATATTAAAATACTTATAAAACACATGTCTGATAAAGGGACTTGAAGCCAGGGTATATGAGTAAGTCTCAAAACTCAGTAAGAAGAAAATGACTCAATTAAGAAATCGGTAGGTTTGAACAGATGCTTCATTAAAGATAACGGATGGCAAATCGGCACATGCGAAAGTGCTCGACGCCGTTAGCTGTTGGGAAATGCACGTTAAAGCCGGGGTAAGATGCTATGGGACACCTATCAGAATGGCTTTAACAGCATCAACCGAGGGGCGCCTGGAGTGGCCCTGGGCGTTGAGCGTCGAACTCTTGGTTTCCACTCAGGTCGTGTTCCCAGGGTTGTGAGATCGAGCCCCGCATCAGACTCTGCACCGGGCATGGAGCCTGCTGGAGATTCCCTCTCCCTCTGCCCTGCCCCGCCCCCCGACTCTCTCTCTAATAAAATCTTAAAAAGGAAAAAAAGAATCAACCCAACACTGCAAGTGCTGGCTAGGCTGGCGGGGGGGGCATCTGGAACGCTCACACACTGCTGGGAGAAATGCACAATCTACAGCCGCTTCAGAAATCGGTTTGGCAGTTTCTTATCAAGTTAAACATACCTTGACCATTAGAACAAGCAATCCTACCTCCTGGGAAGTTGCCCGAGAAAAATAAAAACTTACGCTCACATTCACACCGATTCGCATGCGCAAATGTTTATAGTGACCTTACTGATGGTCCCCAAAACCCAGACCCCCCGGCGTCCTTCAAGTGGTGAACACACAAACCGTGGTTCGCTGCTCGGCAAGGAAAAGGAACGACCCACCAACAGATTCAACAGCATGAACAAACCCGAAGTGCATTAAGCTAGGCGGACTACTTGATTCCGTTGTCATCTCCACAGGACAACCTTCTGGAAAATTCTGTCCCCCCAAAGAGAAAACAAAGCGGTGGTTTCTGGCTGCTGGGGGAGAAGCTGACTACCAAGGGGCACGTGTATTTAGGGGGCGGGGGATTTATAGAGCTGTTCCGACCTTGATTGTGGCCTTTACAAGACTGAACACTAGTCAACAGAAGGCACCTGAGAGGCTGCATTTTACTCTATGTAGATTATACCTCAATTAACCTGACCGTAAGGGTAAACAAATAAACAAATCTTGAGTGAAGAGAGCCACCCTAAGGAACTCTAGGTCGCTGACTGGCAGAACAGGCTGAAACCAACTCCCAGCCCCAGGACGATCTGGCGTTGGGACACTCACTGAGCGTCTTCCAGGGGCCAGGCCTGGGAGCCGAACGAAGAGACCGCAGCGTGGCCCACGCTCCCCAGGAGAGCCACTGCTGTACTCTCACTGACCTTGATAAACTCCAGTTTCAAGTACTCCGCCATTTGGAAGGTTTTGCACACTCGAAAAATGTTGCCAATGATGTCTTCCGGCGAATAGCCAAGATGCCACAGGTGAGCGAGAATCTAGACAGAGGAAGATACACTGGGTGACAAGGGTACTGGGGGGGCGGGGAGAGGGGACGAGGCCCACCAGTCTAGGGCCTGTCCCCCAGCAGGGAGCAGACAGATCATCCTTGGCCACCCAGCCATCCAGCCTGCCCTGGGGGGGGGGCGGGTCACTGGAGTTTCCCAACAGGGAGAAATTACATAACAAATGTTTGTTTGTTTATTTATTATTTATGTATTTATTTATTTGTTAGTTAACTCCAGCTGGCTCCATGCCCAATGTGGTGCTTGAACTCAGGATCCTGAGATTAAGAGTCACATGCGCTACCGGCTGAGCCAGTCAACTGCCCCAATATCTCAAATGTTTTAAAATGTACTGCATGGTGGGCGCCTGGGTGGCTCAGTTGGTTAAGCGACTGCCTTCGGCTCAGGTCATGATCCTGGAGTCCCGGGATCGAGTCCCGCATCGGGCTCCCTGCTCGGCGGGGAGTCTGCTTCTCCCTCTGACCCACTTCCCTCTCGTGTTCTCTATCTCTCATCCTCTCTCTCTCAAATAAATAAATAAAATCTTAAAAAAAAAATAAAATAAAATAAATAAAAAATAAAATGTACTGCATGGTAAGGGCACCTGGGGGGGCTCAGTCGGTTAAGCGCCAGACTCTGGGTTTCGGCTCAGATCATGATCTCAGGATTCTGAGATCAAGCCCCGTGTCCGGCTCGGAGCTCAGTGCGGAGTCTGCTTGTCCCTCTTCCTCTGCTCTTCCCCCTGCCCGCTCGCGCCCTCTTTCTCTCTCTCGCTCTCATACATAAAAACAAAATCTTTTAAAAAATGTTTTGCATGGTCTCCTACGACACCCATGTAGTGTCTTTATCCAAGGCTCCTAAAAAACTGTATTAATCATCCCAGTGAGCACCCAAGGGGAAGAGGCCCCCCCTGCAGGCCTAGCCTCCACCAGCTCTCCACCGAGCAGAGTCCTCCCAGCCTTCTGCCCGGTCTCAACCACAGGCCCCAGTTCCAATCCCACCCAGCCCACTCAGATGGTGGGGCCTGGGGTCAGTTGTTTTGCCTCTGCTACAGCATCTCAAGGCAGATGCAGGGGGCACGGAAGCTCTGTGTCCCTAAATCTGAAGGCTACCTTTGGGCCCTGTGTCTGGGTCTCTGGCTTGGTCTCGAGTTGGTTTCGAGTTACATCTGGCCCTGCCCTCAACCCAGTCCACTTCTGGCCTAGTTTGGTGAGAGCAGGGGGAGGGAAATTGGCTGGGACCAGGCCAGTGGCCTTAAATCATACCACTGCCACCCTTGTGGACCTGAGGGTCACCTGAACTGTGATGATGCCCCCTGGAACGTGCCCATGGGACCAGGCTCCATAACGAGGCTGGAAGCCCTGGGTCCTGCTTCTCCCAGATGACCAGGAACCACTGGGTCCCTGAACGCCATTCCCATGTTCCTCAGGGGGACGGGAG